TCTTGCGGGCGCAGCGGCGGGGAGCGGAGCGGAGCTGGGGTCGCGCCATGGCGTGGAGCGCAGGTAACGGGTACGGCCCAGCCACGCGGGAGGGCCCCAGAGCTGGGGGATCGCCTTGGGGTGCTGGCGGCTTTGCACATGCGGCCGCCCCGCCTCTACTGCGGGGCAATGTCACGTGTGGCCGGGCCGCGGTGCTGCGAGGGGGGGACGGCTAGGGGCTCCGGCCAGCTCCTCCTCGCCTCACCCAAAGGAGCGCTTCTTTGTTCACCTTGCTGCTCGGGAAGAGGAGCCATTTGAGACAGGCCGGTGCCGCCGTACTTGCCAGGCAGGATCAGCCTGCTCCTCCTCCGCCCTGCTCCACTGCTTCTCCCAGCAGTGGCACAAACTCACTTCACGGCTGGGCCCTCTTCAAGGAAGGCAGGGACTCTCCTTGACCCAGCTTTGTTTGCACAGTGCGGGGTGGGGGGGGCTGCAGGAAGGACCCTGTCTCGCAGGCCTGACTGGAGCAGGAGTCTCCCTGAGGCTTTGCCCCAACACGAATCCCTGGACGATCGGGTCCAGAGCAGTGGTTCCCCGCCTCTCTGACCCAAGGCAGCCCTTGGAAACTGTCAGCTCTTAGCTTTCATCTTTTTTTTTTTTTTGCCTACAGAAAAATAATAAAGCGTTTTTTCTGTTGCAAAGAACAAAGACCCCAACTCTGGATTTCCATCTGAAATCTCTTCACTTATCTTGTGAATCATGTTTGTAAACAGTGCTAACATTATACAGCACCCTGCAGCAATTCTTGAATGGTTGTCAAGGCACCCCAGGGTGCCCTGGCATGCGATTGCAAAACGGTGGTCTAGCATTTCAGAGCCCTGGAAGGTGATCGTAGTTTTAGATGGCTGCTAAGAGTCTGACTGTAGTTAGATTGGCTGGATATATCTGAAGGAAGAAGGAGGAAAGGGAGGGGTAGAGCAGAGTAGGATGGCACATCTCTATCCCTACAGTGTTTCACAAGCAGGTTTGGTAGTATTACAGCTTTACTGGATGTACACAGAGGTGTGTGATCCATAGTATCGATGGCTACCAACTGCTGGCTTTTCAGAGCGCTGGACTAGTACCCAAGAATTGGTGAACCTATTCCCTGCCTAAGAGAAGTGAAAATCACTAAGTAAAGTGACAGCAAAAGTAGTGAAGAGTATTCAGTGATTAAACTTGATTTATAGCCATTCCTAAGAGGTGGGCGGGGGGGGGGGTGTTTTTGATAAACCAGAAGCACCTCTTAGCATAGTTAATGTGCCAGTGGTACTACCCTTGCAGCAGCTAGGCTTTGGAAGCAAACTGTGCCATTTTTCCTGAGTATGGGTTAGAAGTTGCAGGACACGGGTTTCTCAAAGAACATGAGGACAATCCTTGCCTGAAAGGTGAATACTTAGTTTTTTTCCAGCTGTCATTGGGCAGCTGGATGAACTCCATTGGGGGCATGGGGATATTGACAGGGATAGCAAAAGAACAGATGCCCCTAGAAATCACGTGTACATTTAAGAAGGGTGAAGAATCGGAAACTGAGCGCCTTTGGGGAATTCTGGATATGCCAGTTTGCCCCTGACTGGGCTGGAGCTGAACCTGTCCCCCTGAGTGCCCAGCCCACTTCACTTCCTTACTGGGGGCTGGGCATCAGAACCTGTGTTTCTAGCAGCTGCAGGCTTGTTGTTTCATTCAGAGACCGGGTTGAGCTGTTCCTCATCACATTCTGACTGAGCCCTGTAGCCTGAGACAAAACCCTCTTTTAAAACCATGTCAGACAACTACGTTGTCCCAAAAGAGCTTTGGCTTCAGCCGACCTGCTCAAAGGGGGGGGGGGGGGGG